CTAATTCCATGAGTCCAGCACAGTTCTAGCCCTGTCTCTATAGCTCTTAGTTTAGCTTCCATGATAGTGCATTCACCATATCCCCATGTGACATTACCCAAGTTATTCCTCAAAATTCCCCCGCCTGCCGTTATAGAATTAGATTTCAAAGCCCTGTCCGTGTTGAGTTTATACCAACCTATATCAGGTTTAACCCACTTGACTGCCATAAGTTTGTTGAACTTGTTACTGTCGGTTTGTTTGATCCTCCCTGCCCTATGGAGTGCATTAATCAGGACATGGATTTGCTTGATAATCTTATCTTTCATTGGATGGGGTTTATGTTTAGCATTATTTCTGGCCATCCATAGAAGCCAGATGGTAATCAGCGGAATAATTGATTTGATCTCCCCAGGTTTAGCCTTCTTCTACAAAAACCAGTGCATCAGCATGGCTCTTGGTTGATCACACTTAATATCTTGAACATCCATAGCCCCACAGAAATGAGACCAGACCTCCTTAGCAATTTGTCCATCCAGGAACACATGATTGATACTTTCAGAGTTACAGCAACATTGACATTTGGAGGCTAATTGGATGCCAAATTTATTCTGGATGATTTCCTCAACTGGTAACCAATTATGCCAAAATCTCCATCCTAAAAAAGCAATTTTTTGAGGAATACTCTTATCCCAAATATGTTTATACGCCATTTGTCTGGTTTTATTTTGCCTGAAAAGATTAATACAAGAAAAGATGGTAAAGTTCTCGGATGGATTGGGTTTCAGAACATTTTATCAGGATAATTGGTAACCGAAATTTTCAGAATTTCACTCACAACATCAACAGGTAGAATGTTATTTAGTGTGGTAGTATTCCATTCATTGTTTTTTCTGAAATCCTTAACAAACTTGTCTTGAGATATATCATGTTTCAGCCTCCCTTGGATAACACCAGATTTAAGCCCGACATCATGCTTAAAATTAACTTTGCCTTTTCCAATTCTCCAAACAATTTGAGGTTCAACTAAGTTTCTGGATCATTCTTCTCCAAAGGCCGGAATCTTGGGTACTGTGGTTGACAACACTAGCATGCCTGATCCTGCAATATTTACCTTGCCCTGGCTCCAAAGAGATTTTTGTTCCCTAAACTTCCACCATAATTTGCAGTCATAGGCAAAATTCAAGTCAGAAAGGGAGGTGCAGCCAATACCCCCTTCTTCAACAGGATATCAAATGTTTTCCCAATTAGTCCAATGAATTTTCTTTCTCTGGCTAGATTCCCCCCAGATGAACCGATTAAACATTCTGGAAATTTTGTTAATGATGCATTTAGGCGGGTCAAGGATTTGTAATAAGTGTATTGGCATAGATTTCAACACATGCTTAATAAGAACACGCCTGCCACCTGCAGACAACCATCTATGCTCCCATCCAAGAAGTCTTCTTTTAATTTTGTCTATCAATTCCTCAAACAAAGCAATCTTTTTATGCCCTTTATAAAGGGGTACTCCAAGGTAAAGCAGAGGCAGAGGCTGGTATTGAAAGCCAGTATTGTCTGCAATAACTTTTCTGTGGGTTTCCTTTTTTGTGGTAAATGAACTCTTATTACAGCTGATAGCCTGTCCAGAGTTAGCCGTATAAAGCTTGATGAACCTCACGATTTTATTCAAAGAAGGTTTTTGGCCATTGTAAAAATTACAATGTCATCTACAAATGCTAAATGGGAAACTGGGATAACTCCACCATATCTAAAGTCCAGGTTGTCATTTCTAGAGAAAATGTTATCCAGCCCCCTAGACAAACACTCAGCCAAGATGATGAATAATGAGGGTGAAATGGGGTCTCCTTGTCTCAGCCCTCTAGTGGATTTAAAATAGCCCTTTAGCTCTCCATTAATCAAAATTGAAAAGCTACAGTTATTAATACTCCTCTTGGTTTTTTCAATCCATTGTTGGTTAAAACCAAACTTCTCCATCACCTTATAGAGGAACTCTCAATCGACCCTATCATACGCCTTAGCCATGTCTAATTTTAGGACCACATTACCTCCTCTAGTCTTCTTATCTATGTTCTGAATAAACTCCTGGGCCAGAAGAATGTTATCCCCAATATCTCTCCCTGGAGTGAAGCCACTTAGGGATGTGGAAATAATATTTGCCAGAACTTTGTTGAGTCTAGATGAGAGAACCTTTGTAAGGATTTTATTGACCACATTACACAAACTAATAGGTCTAAAGTCTTTCCACTCCATAGCCTCAGCTTTTTTAGGTATAAGAGTAATAGTGGTGGAGGTAATTCCTGTAGGAATTACCCTTCCCTTAAAGAAATCCAATGAAGCATCTAAAAGGTCATGTTTGATAATTTCCCAGCAATGTTGCTAGAAGAGACTAGAGAATCCATCCGGACAAGCAACACCGTCTTTGTTAATACTGTAAACAGCCTCCTTTCTTTCCTCAATATCAGGTAGCTTGTTAAGTAGGTCATTTCAGATTGAGACACCAATTGTGGGATGTTATCCAGTAATCTGTCACAGCCTTTAGTAGGTTCTCTGGTGAGAATCTTTTCAAAGTATTCCACAGCAGATATTTGTATATCCCTGGGCTCCTTCATTTCAACTCCATTATTGGATATCAAATTAATATTGTTTTTAGCCCATATCTTTCTGACACAAGCATGAAAAAACTTAAGAGTTCTTATCTCCTTCATTAAGCCATTTGATCCTTCGGAAAACAAAGGTTTTACCTTCTTCCTTAGAAAGCAATCAATTGAGCTTTGCATAAGCCTAATTTACTTCCATTCTGTCATTGGGAGATTTGGATATGTCATACACAATTTCTTTATTTAGACTCTCTTCTTCAGCCTTAGCAATATCAATAAAGATATTAACAAAAATAACTTTATTCCATTTTTTAAGAGTGGACTTGAGTCTTTTCAGTTTGAAATAGAAACCGGATAAGCCTCTAGATTAAGGATAAAGTGGAGCTTCCCAACATCTTTTAACAGTATCCAGTAAACTGTCATTTTGACACCACTTTGCTTGGAATCTGAATGAAGTCTTTACACGGATTTGTTGAGCATTACACTTCATTAAAAATGGACAATGGTCTAATGTGTCCCTGTTTAGCATCTTAGCCTCGAGGCCATTATATTCATTTAACCATTGAGCGTTAACAAGAATTCTGTCTAATTTCTCCCATATCCTGCCATTAGTCTAGGTATAATTACTTCCTCTAATAATATGTTCATCCACACCACAGTTTATCAACATATTACTGAAGTCCTCCATAGACCTTCTATTAGGAGAGTTACCTTTATCATTTTCCCCTCTATTTAATATGGAATTAAAATCTCCTCCAATAAGCCAGGGAGAATCCAAATTCTCAGAGAACAGAGTAAGGTCATTCCACACATTTCTCCTAAGTAGGACAGAGCTTTTAGCATACACTGCAGTGATATAATTCTCTTTGTTTTGCCTTTTAACCTTGAGGGTAAGATATTGTTCCTTGTCTTCAATAACGTGGNCTCAGCCCTCTAGTGGATTTAAAATAGCCCTTTAGCTCTCCATTAATCAAAATTGAAAAGCTGCAGTTATTAATACTCCTCTTAATTTTTTCAATCCATTGTTGGTTAAAACCAAACTTCTCCATCACCTTATAGAGGAACTCCCAATCGACCCTATCATACGCCTTAGCCATGTCTAATTTTAGGACCACATTACCTCCTCTAGTCTTCTTATCTATGTTCTGAATAAGCTCCTGGGCCAGAAGAATGTTATCCCCAATATCTCTCCCTGGAGTGAAGCCACTTTGGGATGTGGAAATAATATTTGCCAGAACTTTGTTGAGTCTAGATGAGAGAACCTTTGTAAGGATTTTATTGACCACATTACACAGACTAATGGGTCTAAAGTCTTTCCACTCCATAGCCTCAGCTTTTTTAGGTATAAGAGTAATAGTGGTGGAGGTAATTCCAGTAGGAATTACCCTTTCCTTAAAGAAATCCAACGCAACATCTCAAAGGTCATGTTTGATAATTTCCCAGCAATGTTGCTAGAAGAGACTAGAGAATCCATCCGGACAAGCAGCACTGTCTTTGTTAATACTGTAAACAGCCTCTTTTATTTCCTCAATATCAGGTAGCTTGTTAAGTAGGTCATTTCAAATTGAGACACCAACTGTGGGATATTATCCAGTAATCTGTCACAGCCTTTAGTAGGTTCTCTGGTGAGAATCTTTTCAAAGTATTCCATAGCAGATATTTGTATATCCCTGGGCTCCTTCATTTCAACTCCATTATTAGATATCAAATTAATACTGTTTTTAGCCCATATCTTTCTGACACAAGCATGAAAAAACTTAAGAGTTCTTATCTCCTTCATTAAGCCATTTGATCCCAGCCTTTTGTTTCCAAAATGCTTCTTCCTTAGAAAGCAATCAATTGAGCTTTGCATAAGCCTAATTTACTTCCATTCTGTCATTGGGAGATTTGGATATGTCATACACAATTTCTTTATTTAGAGTCTCTTCTTCAGCCTTAGCAATATCAACAAAGATATTACCAAAAATAACTTTATTCCATTTTTTAAGAGTGGACTTGAGTCTTTTCAGTTTGAAATAGAAACCGGATAAGCCTCTAGATTAAGGATAAAGTGGAGCTTCCCAACATCTTTTAACAGTATCCAGTAAATTGTCATTTTGACACCACATTGCTTGGAATCTGAATGAAGTCTTTACACGGATTTGTTGAGCATTACACTTCATTAAAAAAGGACAATGGTCTGATGTGTCCCTATTTAGCATCTTAGCCTCGAGGCCATTATATTCATTTAGCCATTGAGCGTTAACCAGAATTTTGTCTAATTTCTCCCATATCCTACCATTAGTCTAGGTATAATTACTTCCTCTAATAATATGTTCATCCACACCACAGTTAATCAACATATTACTGAAGTCCTCCATAGACCTTCTATTAGGAGAGTTACCTTTATTATTTTCCCCTCTATTTAATATGGAATTAAAATCTCCTCCAATAAGCCAGGGAGAATCCAATTTCTCACAGAACAGAGTAAGGTCATTCCACACATTTCTCCTAAGTAGGACAGAGCTTTTAGCATACACTGCAGTGATATAATTCTCTTTGTTTTGCCTTTTAACCTTAAGGGTAAGATGTTGTTCCTTGTCTTCAATAACGTGGACTACAATCTCCTCTTTCAACATTCACCAAATTTTACCATTCGAGTTGGCATAGCAATTATCGAATCACAGATTTATGCAATANTTGTTCCTTGTCTTCAATAACGTGGCCTTCAATCTCCTCTTTCCACATTCCCCAAATTTTACCATTCGAGTTGGCATAGCAATTATCGAATCCCAGTTTTTTGCAATATTCTTGCACTTGAGCATTCTCTACAATAGGTTCTAAAATGAGTAAAATAGAAATGTGATGAATTTGAATCAGATTTCTGAGTCTCTTCATAGAATTGTAAATTCCTCTTATATTTCAAATTAATACATTGAACTGCATAGTTAACGTTTGGATAGTCTCCCCTTCTCTTCTTATTGCTTTTGAGTTTCTTATGACTTTCCTTCAGTTCTTTTCCATCCGTGGCACTATGGACCTCAACTGAACATGTCTCATCCTCCACTTCTACCTCTTCCTCCTCTCTTTGTAATATTTCAAATGACTGTTGCTTTTTCAACTTGCTGCAATTGGGGTCATAAGTAACCTTGTTGACATTCACTTCATCTAGATCAATGAAGTTCTAGGCTAAATTTCTCTTATTTTTCTGACTATTAACCTCCTCCAGTGGGAACTCTTTAATAATTTTCACACCAATTTGTTCCACTTCTTCACAATTTTGTAAACAATCAAAATATCCTGATTTTATGTGTATATTCTGATTCTCATTGGCTATAATGGGTTCACTTGCAGCCTTGTTCTCTTTTTCACTTACTTCCTCAACATTTTCCTTCTGAATAGCATATTTACACTGCAGATCCTCATTGACAATTTCTCCTTCTTCACAGTTATTGAGTTTGGAACTTTCTCCTTTCAAAAACTCAGTTTGTATAGGTAATTTCCCCCTTTTTTTATGGCTGTCCATTCATCCCTCCCCTTGTCCTTCTTTTTTGCTTCTCTAGAAACAAATTCATGTTGTTTATCTTTAACTTTGGTCCCCGTTATTTTCTTCCAATAACATTTCCCAATTTCATGTCCCACATGTTTACAGAAGGAACAATATAAAGGTTGTTCTTCATATACGATCTTCTGCCAAACTGCAAACGTCTCATTTCAAATTCTGATTCTATCCAATTTTGAGGCATTAACATCCATTTCCACACAGATTCTAGCCGAATTAGTTCTGGTTTTCTTGGCAGTCTACTCATCAATTTTTGAAGGAGTTCCCAAAACAGAAGCTATTGAGTAAAAAACTGCCTTGTCATAGTAAACTAGAGGCAAATTGGGTAATGCAATCCAAATTGGAACTATAGGGGATTCCTTTTGTGGATTAAAATCAAAAGTATACTTCCAAGATTCTCATGGATGTGCCAAGAATATACCAAACAGGTTTCGAGAAGATACGATAGTAATCTTTTTCTCTTTCAAAATTCAGTAGAACATGTTTTCCATCTGGATACCCTAATTCACTTCCCCTCCGAGTTCGAATGAATTAAGAGTTTGAACAATCAAATTAAGTGCAGGTTTTTTGTGAGAAAATTACCTACTAATCCGTGTTTGAAAGAATGTGATAATTTCTGTATTTCTTCATGGGAGACTTGAATAAACGGCTCATTCTTGAAAACAGAGGCATCTCTGACCGCCACAACTTTAGATTTGAGATCTCTGGCAACGTCTTCAAACGATCTTTCCTTCGCAGAAGCTAGATTCCTTTTTCCGTCTGTAATGTCCGCACGTCTTCCGAGGTGGAAGATCCCCTTCTTGGGTCATATCCTCCTAATTTCTAGCTGAATCAGTCGAAATTACTGTGAGAAATACCCTACAATGTATGTGTTCTTCGCAGAAACAGAATCATTGTCAATCAAGACGGTTTGTCTTGTTCCAACTCTATCTTAAAAGAGGAAGAGGGATTTTGAGAAATATTGTTCATTTCCGCACATTATTATTGTTATTCTCTCTTTTGTACTCGTTTTTGACTTGCATTCAAGAATAGTAATATTTCCGTGAGGTGATTATTGCAATTTAATTTAGAAGTGTAATATAATGCAAGGGTTTTGGAAAAAGAAAATCTCGAAAAGAAGTGCTGCAAGTCTACGAGGAAAACGTTACAAAGCATTAATCAATAACCTTCAGGACAACGCTCCAATGTGAGAAAAAATTCGTCATTATTTTATCCAACAAATCCATGCAATAGGATTAGAAAGACATTCTGTCCATGAAACTTTACCTTCGAGCTGACAAATTAACCATTGAACCGAAATTAACGTATGGTATTCGTCCTTCCATCCACATCCCGAAATACTAGTACCATGCGACTTCGGTATAACCATATTTCAGCATACAATATTAATAAATTTTGAACTTATCTTTGTGTCTTATTACTTAATTTTCCAATTCACTTTAAACATGCTGCGATCGCACAGAATAAAACAAGAGATAACCCTTTAAACAACCAACGGAGGAAAAATAATTGTTCGAGCACCCGATCACTTGAAAGGAAATAATATTTCCTTAGGTTAATGACGTGATGACACCTCTAGCAATTTTTTTTCCTTACAAACTTCTTCCTTGTATCACAACATAAAAATAAAAGATAAACCTTGCCACGACCAGCTCGTATTGATAAGCACGTCGGCCTGTGTAAGCCATGGCCATGCCAGGACTCTTTTACTTCACTCAATACTTCTCCATGAATTATTCGTTGCATTGACAAATTATTTCACATCATCACAATTTCTGGAGCAGAAATTTGGATGAATGACTCAAAAAATTTCTTGGAACAATGCACAAAAATAAGAGGAAGTCATAGCACATTTGGCTGTTACAAACTAGACAATGAAAATCATCCACTAGCAGTGGAGGCTTCTGTACTTTGGAGTATACAAAGTTCTGGTCATAACATCCTCTGTGGTGTCGGATCAGATGTTGAAAGCTCGGTATACATGTCCGATATTGCTTTGGCGAAGTAAGCCTTTGCTTGGGGCCTCTTTATCTGAGATTCCAAAACAAACAGATGAATCAAACAAACTGTTTTCTTGTTGCTAAGTTAGTTGTGAAGAGAAAAACAACAACAACGTAAGCCTTTTTCTGAACACAATTCGGCAAGAAAAATTCTTTTCTGCATTCGCTTCATTGTTTTTCAGAAATTTTTGGTTCCCAAATGAATTGCTTCCTCTTAGATTCATATGAATATCTTTTTTCCCCACAAAAAAATAGCATAGCCTTAGTGGGTTTTCAGGATTTATATGAATATGTAGAGATTCCAGATCCTTAGAACTTGAGGTGAGAAAAGAAATTACCTTAAATGTTGGAGTTAATAAGCCGTTCTCTAATGTAAATGGCTCGACCACCAACGTGACAGCTTTCACAAATTCGAAACCTCTCAACTGTTTAGAGAAGTGTGGAGCCATCAATTGCATAAAAGATGTGACCAAATAAAACCCTTAAAAATCTAAACAAAGCATTGATAAAAATCACTCGGAAGAGATTACCTGAGCTTCCTTTCCTACAGCATCCATCTCAGCAAGAGCGGCAGCCCTTGCTCTTGGATCATTGCATAGTTGCCCTAAATCTTCATACTGCACAACATGCAAATTCAACCAAGCAACAGAAGTTAAGATGCATATCTGAGCAATTGAGAAACCCCATTTAATGAAATGAGTAATGGTAGCAAAGCCGGCATTTCAAATGGATATATTACACAATGGATCTGTCTTGTTTCTAATATTATTGACTTGTTTTCTAGTCTCTCTGTGTACATAGGGAAGGGGAGTGAGGCCAATTATCCCACTCATTGTATCCTTTAAACTGTTGATCCATGAGTGAGGTTCATAAAGAGTCTGCCTACTCTCATGGTGTCACATTTCATGGAGCATGAAAGGTAGTTGTGCCTCTTATTTAAAAAAATAAAAACATGCCCGTACACTCCCAATATCACAGATCATTGTGCACAAGAGGTGGTTGTGCCTCTTTATAATCTTATGAAGGGAAGTGATAATCTACGCTAAAATGAAAAACAAATACTAACTGATAAAATCGTGACCGAACTAAGAATTTTCCTCTCTCAAGGGCATGCAGACATTTCATTGATTCCAGGAACAGCCTAGAGAGAGGATCTTAGCTAAAAGGTGTCTGGCCAGTGGGCGAGCTGATTAGTGACTATAACTGCACCATTAATTATGATGGAATGGAAGAAACATTCATCAGATAATGCAACAAATAATATTAACTTCGGAAAATTGATATATAACAGATCTCCCTAAAAATTAGCGCTAGAATTTGGTCCAGAATATATTTAAGTTTGCATTACTGTTTAATCCTCAAAGACCAACTTTAATAAATAGGCCCAGAGGAAAAACAGAACACCGATTGTGACTGAGAGTGTCCCATTGTGCACATGTATGAAACAGATAAATAATAACAATGCAGCTAGCTGTCCATAGTCAACCAAAAATTGATGAAAGGACACCTGAAACATATGCAACATGAACATTTCAGAGCTCTCAGGATGTGGATTTTAATGGAAGTGTTTTGCCAACTGAAAATGTACAGAAAGGATTAAGATTACCTTGATGCCTTCTGATGTGGCCCAATCCTTTAACACGTCTGGCTCCACAAATACTACAGCAACTAAACTGGAGTTGAAGCTATCGCCTGTTTCATTGCACAAGTCAATCGAAAGAAACGGTTGGGGGTTTCAAACAGAAAAAGCGAAGTAATATTCTTACCATACACGAAGCACTGCGCAACAAATTTGCACTTGGCATAGACATTCTCAATTTTCTCTGGTGCTATGTACTCACCCTGGGCCAACTTAAAAATGTTCTTTTTCCTGTTTACAGTAAGGAATTTAGTTTTAAACCTCTCTAACCATCCTCATAACCAAAGGCAAAAACCATGCTTCAGAAAGAATGTTAAGATTGGATCAATCCTAAAAGCATTCATCAAGTAGTATCAAAGAATGACAAGAACCCAATATATCGACCAAAGATCTACAATTAAAATTTTTGTGCACAAATCATGACTTGAAGTCTTTCACCAAAGTAAGCTGTTCATGTATTGATTATAACATCAATATCCTACAAAATGTTAAACTTTACCTATCAATAATTTTAAGACGTCCACCGGGTAGCCATAATCCAATATCCCCTGTGTGTAGCCAACCTTCATCATCAATTACTTCTCTCCTGTTAATTTATTTGAGAGTGAGAAATATTTAGGATTTCCAAATCTATCTTGAGCATGCTAGATACAATACTTGAAACATACGCACGTCAGGATTTCATCTTTGTAATAGCCTTGGAAAATGATGGGACCTCTAACACAGATCTCCCCACGAGGATGTGGTAGATCTTCAGAAGTGTAATTCATCTCAGGAACATCCACCAGCTTTATTTCTGGAAGAGACAAGAAAATCAGTTTTTTACACAAGCAAAAGTTTGTAGCCATAAACAATAAAGGCATTTATACAACAAACAACTTTTTATAATGATTATCCCTTCTCAATGACAGGATTTACATTTTCCACATCAGGTGTAATGTTAACAAGTTTACTTGACTAGCTATTAACTAAGGCATTAAATGCTAATATTCGTACGAGTCACTGACAACAGCTTACCACAAGCAGGATTGGGAGAACCAACATGACCAGATAAGGTGTCACTTTCGTCCATTGAGCTAATGACACATGAAGTCTCTGTCATACCATATCCTTCAAGCACTGGACAGCCAAAACATCTACATGTAGAGTGAAATGTTAGATAAAAAGTGCGACCCCCTAATTCTAATTAATATAAACACTATTTATCAGGTGCTAGAAGAATATGCAACTTACACCCTTAAAAACTCCATGACATCAGGAGACAATGGTGAAGCACCTGAAGTCATCAAACGGACTCGCCCTCCAAGTTTGTCTTTTATTTTATTGAAGACCAATCTATCCCACATTGGTGATGGTTTTCTTCCTG